TAGTAGTTGGAGGGAAATGGCGCTTGTACAAGAAGAAAAGCTCTCATTTCTTTTATCCCATGAAATTAGCTCATTCGCTACGACTTCCACTCGCGAAAAACGTCTGTTCCTCCTTCTCTTCTCCGTCTAGCTAATATGGTCACTTCTCGAAGGGCGGCTGATTTGCACTTCGTTAGCAGGAATAATTTCTTGGTTTATTTATCTTTAGTGATAGGTTTACAGGCTGGGACTGGCAACATTTTTTTTATCAACGGTTCATTATAATTGAAATGAATTACTGAGCATTTCTGTTAAAAACAAAACATTAAAAACAAAACAAAACACGAGTACAGTGGTTTGCCTCTTGCCAGTTGCGGCTTTTAATCGTGTTGCGATTCATTAAATTATTTACTTCCAATATCTAATTGCTTGGCCCTACTTTACATGTCTTTGTCGTTTGTACACAAAACGAGGGCAAACAAAGGATATTTCTTTATTTTCTTTCTTTATTTCGATAATAATATTATTATTATATCTCAGTGAAATAAATTATTTTGCCATTAAATGAAATTTGTCAAAAATAAAACAAAATAAAAACTGAGATGACATTGGGGATTTAATTGTCACCATGACTGGCTGAGAAATTACAATAACCCAATCTCACTAAACAAAACGTTAACAAATTATTAAGAGCAACACTGACTAACGTAGGATATTGCGAAAGAACGCACTGATAGAACGAAATCAATACAAACACATTTTAAAGATCTTGACGGGTTTACATTTCTGCGGTAAACCAGTTGCCGTTGTGAAGGCTGTGAAAGAGTTTTCGCTTATAAAACCTAGACTAAACATCTTGAAGAACAAGTGCTATCCTTTGAATGCTGTCAATCATGAAAACAAAGAAAACGTAAAGATCGATTTCTTTTGCTATAACAAAGATCGAGTTCTCAGCATATTTCCCAAACTCGATACTTTTTAACCACTGCTACTATTTTACTAAACCTACATTTTTGCAAAAGAGCGTCAAGTAGTTTGTTTAAAAAACGGTACACAATTTGATGGGCGTAATCATTCCGAAAGGCGCAGGCAGTTCCGAAGTTAAATTCTAGCTTACTATTGTGTGATCTCGGCGTACCTTTCCTATATTTTGCTCTCAGAAAAAATATTGTGCTTTGTTTTTTTATAGGCATGCGTCAAGGGTTTTGTCCATAAAATAACCCACAAAAAATATCTACTAGTAATTGTTCGCGTAACATAAGAAGGTAAAGTTAAACAACCTCCTAAGGATCGCGAGGAAAAGATCTGTATGACCAAATATTAGACATATTAGTTACAGCGGGAGTCACAGTTTTTTTTGGCCGAATTATGTCTTTGCTTGCGTTGTCGTCCGTTTGCAGTGCATAAACCAACGGTTTTGAAACTGGTTTTAAAATACAAGCGACACACGAAGGTACATGTTTTCGGGCGAAAACAGGTGGACAACTGCGAGATTGC